GTGCCTTATATTTTTTCTGCCCCTCCCCCTTACCTTGCTACACTCTCTACTCCAACCCCAGCAACACCCTTTTCAGCATCTAATGTGATGATCATGTGGTTTTCCACTTCAGTTTATTAATATGGTGGATTACATTGATAGATTTTTGTGTGTTGAACCATCCTTGCATCTCTGGGATAAAGCCTACTTAACTAGAGTGGATTATTATTTTTTTTATGTGTTCTTGGACTGAGTTTGCCAGTATTTTATTGAGTATTTTTGTGTCAATGTTCATGAGGGAGAGTGGTCTGTAATTTTCTTTGTTGCATTTTAGTGTGGTTTGGGTGTCAGGGTAATTGTGGCCTCATAAAAAAGAATTTGGCAATGTTCCTTCTGTTTCTATTGTGTGGAACAATTTAAGGAGTGTTGGTATTAGTTCTTCTTTGAAATTCTGATAGGATTCTGTGCTGAAACCAGCTGTCCCTGGGCTTTTGTCGTTGTTGTTGTTGTTGTTGGGAGGTTTTTTAACAACTGCTTCTATTTCCTTAGGAGTTATAGGTCTATTTAAATTGTCTGTCTGTTCTTGATTTAATTTTGATATGTGGTACCTATCAAAAAATTGTCTGTTTCTTTCACTAGCTGTTTTTATGGAAGCAAGAACAGTGAATTATGAAGGTAATTTAAAGAAAGCATCCCTGACTCCCAAACATGTACCAATTAAAAATAACAATAATGATAATAATATGATGTAATGATGATGAATGTCTGAGAAAGAATTTCTATTATTCCACAAAATAGAAACAAAAGGATCATTGCCCACTTTATTTTATTCTGGTACTCAAACCACATAAAGACCCAGCAAAGAAAATCACAGACTAATGACCCTTATGAACATAGATGCAAAAATACCCAATAAAATATCTGCAAACTGAATTTAAGAACACAATAAAAATATCATCCACCACAGTCAAGTAGGCTTCATCTTAAGATGCAGGAATGGTTCAATATACAAAAATAAACAAACACAATCCACTGTATAAACAAAGTGAAAATAAAATGTTATGTGATTCATCATGTCATTAGATGTAGAAAAAGCCTTTGACAAAATCCAGCACCCCTTCATGATAAAAGTCCTGGACAGTTTAGAAATACGAGGGAGTTAGCTAAAGATAATAATAGCAATATATGGCATACCTATTGCCAACATCAAATTAATGGAGAGGAACTCAAAGCAATTCCCCTAAAATCAGGAACAAGATAAGGCTGTTCGCTCACTAAATGCCTATTCAATATAGTATTCGAAGTCTTAGCTAGAACAATAGGACAATCAAAGGAGATCAATGGGAAACAAATTGGAGAAAAAGAAGTCAAAGTATCATTATTTGCAGTTGATGTGATATTATACATAAGTGACTCTAAAAGTTCTATCAGAGAATTCATACAGTTGATAAACACTTTCAGCAAAGTAGCTGGATACAAAATTAACTCACAAAAACCAGTAAACCTCTTAAATAAAACTGACAAACAGACTCAGAAAGAAAGCAATGAAACAACAGCTTTCACAAAGCCTCAAATAATATAAATTATCTTGGTTAACTCTAATAAAGCAAATGAAAGACTGAAGATAGAAGAACAGGGACTACATGGGTCTGCAGGCCTGCATCAGGTCCTTTACGTATACACTATAGCTTTTAGCTTAGCATTTTTATGGGAATCCGGACTGTGAGAATGAGTGGGTCTCTGACTCTTATACCTGCTCTTAAAACTCTTCCTCCTGTTGAATTGCTGTGTCCAACTTCACTATGATGTTTTTTGCTTCATCTTTTATATTGTATTTTGTCATGTTTAATTACTATCTCTTAGAAGCCTGTTCTTTTGAAAAGTAGGGGAGGAACTAGGAGAGGTAGAGAGAGGGGAACCTAAAATCAGAGGAAAGTGTGTGAGAAGAGAATTTCTTTTCAATATGAGGAAAAAAGAAGAAAACACTTTAAAGGGAATGTTAAACCTCTTTGCTAAGCTTCTCTGTGCTGCTTGCCTTCTATACTAGTACCTGGCTATCTCTCTCTAATAATCGTTGTGTGACAAGAATTTTCCAGGGGAGATCACATATGCATACAAGCATGTGAGCACACACAGACACACACACACATACACACACTTGCCTGTTGTTCCAATGATCCATGACAATCTATACTACCGAAGCATCTATGCTTAGTTAAGGGATTGTGTATGAAAGTTCCTAATCGGAGAATCATGAATCAGAAGCAAACTCATGACACAGGACAACAGAGGAACATGTATCTTTTTTATTTTAATTTTTGAAATTGGTGTAAATGTCTGTAAGTCTGTGTATGAGTATGTCCCCATGCATGTGGGCACCCGCTGAGGTCAGAGCCTCATAACCCTTAGAAATAGAGTTGTAGGCAGTTGTGTTTTTGTTGCCCAGGGTGCTGGGAACTCTGTGTCCATGGAAGAGCAGCAAGAACTCTTGACCACTGATCCAACTCTTGCTCCTAACTCGCACCATCCAAAGTGGCTCTTGGCATTGTATTGAACCCTGGGACATGGTTATGGGAAATCAGTGACCACAGAGCCTCAGGGGACTCTCTCTCCTACTAGGTAGGCAGGACCTTAGGGAGACAGGTCCAGTATGCATAGAGGAGTCTCAGAAAGAATTCGTGACAGTGGCATAGTTGGTGTGTCACGTGGAGAGTCGGGGCTTCCATAGTAGGAAGAGACAATTGTCTGACACAGCCTTCCTTGGACAGTATACTTAAAAAAACCCTTCCTGTGGCTGTGGCTGGGTAAAGGTGGCACAGTCAGGCAGTGGAGGCACACACCTTTAATCCCAGCACATGAGAAGCAGAGGCAGAAAGATCTCTGTGAGTTCGAAGCCACCCAGGTATACAGGGTGAGTTCCAGGACAGCAAGGGCTATTATACAAAGAAACTCTGTCTTAAAAAAGCAAAATAAATAAATAAATAAAAAACCTGTGTACCATGTGTCATAGATTAGGTCCTAACTAATCTGCCACCTCAGCCTAACTCATGTCCCCCATGGGTTATGTGACAAAGAATCCACTGGACAGCAGAGGAGAGAGGAGTGGGTCACAAACTTTAGTCCTCATGTCACCTCCAGGTCACCAGAAGCCACAGCAGCACAGGACTCACTGTTGACTCTGGTGCTGTGGGGGGGATGGGCACCAACATTGTGATATTGCATATGGTTTAATCTGGGGTCAGAAGAATTGGTCAGAGGCTAATTCTGGTCTCCTGCTCATTGATTCAATATTTGATATAAAGGCAGCTATTGTATGGCTTGTCAATTTGGAAATATTTAGTGCCTGACATTTACAGAAAAACTGATTGCTGCCTAAATGAATACCATTATCTGATGCTGCCTGCCCAGGAGGTGGACTAGATGGGCCTGGGGTGCAAGGGCAGAAGCTTCCATGTGCTCCTACTCCGCACCATTTAACTGACCCCCACAGTGGAAATGGAGCGCCACCCTCTGCTTTGGGCTGTGTGGTGAGAAGGGGTGGGTTTACTGGAGGAGAGTATCCTCAGTCAAGGGTATGTGAGTGGTGACAGCTAGTGAAGAAGGGGCATGTATGTGATATGTGTGTGTAGTTTACGGAATGGCTGGAGATATATACACATATACATATATACACATATACATATATACATATATACATGTGTGTGCATGTATGTGATGTGTGTGTCCATGTATGTGATGTATGTATGTAGGTCATGAAATGGTCATAGAAGCTTCACTCAGCACAGAGGTAGAGATTGGTTCAGATGCAGTTGTCCAGATAAGCATTAAGGAGCCAGCTGGAGAGCCGCAGACTAACAGGGCTTAGCCAGGTTCAGGGTTCAATGGAGCTGCAGGGGGTGAAGTCAGGACCATGGGATGGGGAAGGGGGGGGAGGGACACAGGATGACTAGACTACATGGGTAGGAACAGAAGCATGTGACAGCTGAAGCACAGGGGACAATCAGTTCTCTGCTTGTTGGTCTCTTGATACAGCATGGGAATCGGTGGTGAGATTGCTGGTAGGTATCACCACGATAGTGCCAGGTGTTCTCCTCTTTGTGGGTCCAGGTTAGGTGTTGTTCCTCCTTCAGTTTGGGATATTTGAAAATATATCAGGTCTGATTATTCAGATGTTGTCTTATTTAGAGTTTCTATTGCTGTGATGAGACACTTGATGAAAAGTGTGTTGCAAAGGAAAGAGTTTGTTTAGTTTGCACTTTAATATTATAGTCCATCAGTGAAGGAAACTAGAATAGAAACTCAAAGAGGGTGGAAACCTGGAGGCAGGGCTGATGCACAAGCCATGGAAGAGTGCAGCACTGACTTGCTCTTCAAGACATGTTCTGTAGCTTTCTTATAGAGCCCAGGGCCACCCACCCAGGGATGGGTCCAACCACAATGGGCTGGGCCCTCCACCATCAACCACTATTTAGGAAAGCACCTAAAGCTGGATCATATAGACACATTTTCTCAACTGAGTTTCCCTTCTTTCAAATAACTCTAGCTTATGTCAAGTTGACATAAAGCTATCCAATACAGATATGGTTTTGATATGTCCTCACTCTCATGTGTCTAATTGATTTTGATATGTCTATCAGTGATGTCTTTCCATTTTTAGGAATAAGGTATTTATCTACCTTTTCTTGTAGGTGGTGCCAGACAGAAGCCTTGTCTATGTGCACTGGAGATGCCCGGGCATCAACTTGTTGCTTATTAATGAAGCCACCTTGAGAAAGACACAACCTGAAAACCATCATTTTACACAATAAGGAGTATCCTAGAGCAGGGTACAGCCTGATCTCCCCAAGGTCATAGTCTAAGAATGAGAAATGAAACAGTAACAAAGGAAGATGGAGTTGCTGGTGACAATGACCTGTTCCATCTTAATGAGGTGATAGAGGAGTCATGGAGACAGTCAACTTTAATATTTCACACCATGTTTATTCAGAAGTGAAATGGCAGATTAACAACACCATCAGAAGGTTTTGTTTTCTGGCTGTGATGTAGAGAGATGCGGACTATTCCAGAGATGTACCAGAGGCAGCTGTTGACAACGACTGCAGATCAGATTACAGAAGAAGCTGAGGAGCAGCATGGAGAAACACCTAGTGATGAAAAAGGGGTGTCAGTTACAGTGGGCTCCTGCACACCTGCATCCTACCCTACTTCATCTCAGGAGGACACTTCTCCCCACTTCACAGACTGTACAGCTCAGCTTCCCAGGGGATTTTTTTCTTTTTCGTTTGGATGTATTTATTTCAAACCTTTCTGCCATTTTGTCTTTCAAATGAAAATGACATTTTGAAATATATTTAAAAAGAGACTGAATAAAACCAAAACAAGTAGGAGGTCAGGCAGATATCTATATTTTTGGTTCTCCAGGCCTTTTACTTTACTTTTAATGTGCTTTTGTGGTTCTTTTGAGACTAGGTTTTATTTGTGGCCCGAGCTTGCTTGGAACTTCCTGTGTACCACAGACTCTTGCTTACCTTAGCTTCTCAAGGCCTGTTCTGACAAGTATGTGCAACCATACCCCAGGTTCACAGTTCATAAAAATGTTATCTTCAATACTTACCTTCCAGAGGACACATCACATTCATGCAGATGGTTTCCTCAGGGTAAGGCTCACCCACTGCACTTGGGGTGTGCTGACCCCTGCGAGTTCCACGAATGCAGGAGACTTGGCGGCATAATCATAGAGGAACAAATAAAAAAATGATCTTAAAATAATTACACCTACTCAAAAATGAAAAAAAGCAAAATAAAACACAGATCTTTGTATTAATTGATATTAAATGTAAATCTTTCACACTAAGCATGTTTATTGGAAATACTTTGGAATAATAAATGAAAATCAGAGTCTTACCCATCTTCACCACACTTCTCTGTGCTTGCTCTAGACTGCATATGGCAAAATCTAACCGTGATGGTGCTGAGGATAAGCTTTGCTTTTGTAAACAGCTCATTTCAATTCCAAAATCACCAATATTAGCATCGTAGATTCATGTACACTGAGTCTAGCAAAGAACATTTATCAAATTAGATGCCTACTTGCTTTGTTTGACAGGATCTCACCTTGTAGTCTAGGCTTGCCTTGAACTTGGTGATCCTTTTGTCTCAGCCTCCTGAGTGCTGGAAGTAGAGGTATGTACTACTGTGTCACCTCTTAAATAACCTTTGTCTATTCTGTTTTTTTTTCTCTTAAACACTATCATAAACCTATATCTACTAATGCACAGAGTATGACACAGGCTTAATATTTGGTGCTCTTCTACAATAAGCTTTTTATCTGGATATAAATCCATGCAATAATAATGATGGTGGTGGTTATAACAAATGATAATAATAGTTCCTCATTTTCCTTTTTCTTACTTTGTGATTAGGTTTCCTTCTGTAGCTTGTACTGGCTTCAAACTTGTTATATAGTCAAAAATGGCCTTTTATTACTATCCCTCCTGTCTCTACTTCCTGAGTGCTGAGATTCTAGCTACACCCCTATGTCCATCAGACATTATACTAGAAATTTAAAACAAATTGCACTAATAACATTGGCTAAAATGATATTTTCAATGAGCAAGGAACAGAGTCTTTTAAGTCTTTAAATGACTATCATGAGGCATAAATGCCAAGTTCCAAGTAGTTTACATTCTGAAAAGTTTTATGTGTCCTCCTCTCAGGCCTCACTTCTGCTACTCACATGTCCATGTTCTTAGGTAAAGAAAACTGAACTTGAAATGCTGAGAGCAAAATAGGTAAACTGAGTCAATAAATGTCTTTATTACACACTTCTTGCACGTCTGTCTTCTTACTGGACAGAACTGTGGCATACTGTCCCTGTTGTCACTCTAGTGTGCCATAGCACACTTCAACTTGCGGCCACTCCTTGTCCTAGGGCAGTGAGAAGGCCCTGTGGCTAAAGAGCTGATGGTACAAACATGGTAACCTGAGCTGAATCTCTGGGACAGCAAGTAGAGATGGAAGAACTGACTCCACAAATCTTGTTTTTATACTGTGATGTGATTACACTCAAAACACAAGAAGTTTCTAGAACAATTGTTGGGGACCAGCCTCGACAAAAACGCCTCTTAGCAGGGTAGGGATGTGTGGATTTAGAAATATTAGTAAAGAATACAAAGCCACATGTGAAAATAACAAAACAGAAAAACATAGAAAAGTATCTGGAGGGAGTTCTAGTGAATACTGAAATAGCCCACGTCTAATTTCCAATCGCTTAAAATATCCCTGACCCCAAACATCAGAAATATGACAAAAAACTGCATTAACATGATACAAAGAAATGAACAGACCAGTTGAAGGTTGCAGGCTACATCCATAGTTAAACATGTTGTCTTGTTGCTAGAACAAAACAAGTCACACACCCTAGACGAAAATATTCTGTAGGCACACCACTCCCTGAGTAGAATCCAATTTTATCTCCTTAAGGGAACTGGAACTTAGTTGGATCCTTAGACTTTTGTTTAAGATAGAAATATATGTATTTCTCTATTCTTGAAATACAAGGGCTAGATATTAGCCACAGTTGACAATAACCTTGAGATTGAACTCAACAATAACCTTGAGATTGAACTCAACAATAACCTTGAGATTGAGCTAAACTCTCTGATCCAAATCTAGGTGGGACGTTTGTTTGCGGTAGAATCACAATCACCTTGAAGGAATAGGGGTAAGTTCCAACTTTCTGACCTTTGGTCAATGTGGAAATAGGCTCACATTTTGGGGCCTCCACAAGCAACTGCAATCCCCAGGACACATACTGGGAAAGGATTTCATGCCTTCTATGTGGGTCGCTTCTTGAGTCTAAGATGTGATGGGCCTTACCAGGTCTGCCTCTCACCTTCTGCAGTATTTAATTTTTCATAGTGATAAGGACCCTAATAACAACTGGGTCAATGACTTTGCAGTGATGAATATTTTCTTCTATGAAAACTGAGTGGTATTTGGAAACTGTGTAGGCTCTTGAGGCTGTGATTCTGATCTTGGGGCAGCACTTTACTTCTGTCTGTAGATATATCACACTTCACTTTCTGCTATGCTGGAGCCAGCGCACACTCGTGTGCAGGCTAATTCACATGTCGCTTCAGTCTGTTGTTTAAATTGTGGTTTTTAGTGAGTTAGCATAATTGGCTTGTGGTTTCTGCACATCAGTATCAACTCCATACAAAAAAGAGTGTTCATGTAGATTAGTCCCACTAAATCTCAATAAATACATTCCCAACTCACAATCCGTTTAGAAAATGTGAAAAACCACTCAGCTGCATCTATCATGGAGGGACATGAGACAAACAGAGTAAAATGGGGAGTCCTAATGATTGTGAGAAATACCTTTGCAAATGCTTTTGATATTAGTACGTAGTAAGGGTTCAAGCAAGGGTCATGCTAAGAGCTCATATACTTGAGGCATTTGGAAGCTTGCTTAATTTTTTTTTTTTTTTTTGACATGCCTGGTGTCTGAGCGGAAGATCATATGTTGAACTGACTGGCAACTAGACTGTCATAAAGTTAGATCTTTGCTATCAAGGTTAGTCTATCTGGGCATGGTGGCTCACACAATTAACTACAGCACTCAGAGGCAAACACAGGCAGAGTTCTGTGAGTCTACACAGTAAGTTCCAGGCCAGCAGGGACTACTGCTTTTTATGTATCAGGTTTTTACAGCGAGTCTAGTAACGCTGTTTCTCATGCTCTAGCGAAGAAACAGAAGGCAACAGACATCTCCTATAGCATTAAGCCTTGCTGCCCTGTTTCATGTCACCCTTAGAGAGCAAACAGCTTTTAATCAAAGCGGGAACTTGGTTGCGTCATGAGCAAATAACACTCTAGTGAAGTTATCTATATCTTGGACCTTGTCCAACCTGAGGAGGCCACTCCTGCTACATCCCTCCTCTGGCTGCAGAGTTCTGCCCCCTATGCTGGCCCCATCTGTCTCAACCGCCATTCCCAGCCCAACTGAGAAGAACCTATGACAAGAATAGGACTCATTTTAGTGGTGATGTGCTTGAGGGAAGCCGCGAGGACTCCTTTCCCAAAACTCCAGACGAACCCCATAGCATGCACAGCCCTGCCCAGCTGTTCCTTACCTATTGCATTCCGGAAAATGACAACAACAACACCGATAAGAAAAAGGATTATGATTGCGAAGACTACAGTGATGATTGCTTTCATATCCCAAGATTTTGGTGACATCTGTACAGTATCCAAAGTCTTTACCGTTGGTCCTGAAAGTATTTTGGATGAACATAAAAATACGCCCTTATTAGCATCTACTACCCTCCAGAAGCCCATGGGGCTCATATGTGACAATTATTTTACATGAAATGGAGTTGTATATACCTTACCCACAGGAGCTTATTTTGCTATAAAGGGAGGCAAATGACCATCCATTATCTTTAATGTGACATATTTACTAGGTTTAGAACATTGGCACAGTTAGTAGCATTTAATTGTTTCTGGTAAGTGTTATACAGCCTCCTTAAGATGTGTCCCCAGAGCTGGCCAAAAGGCTGCTATAGAAGAAAGCCATGAAATATTACAAATTGCATATAGACTTGGGGAGTTAATAGGAGACCATTTGGTTTCTGGTCCATTGGTTAATGAAGAACCAGAAATATAAAGAGGTGAGATAAGGAAAGAGGATGGTGAGAAATCCATATGCTCCTTAGTGGCTCTCCAGATGGGAAGAGAACCAAGAAATCAACCAGTTTATCAAATTTACCATTATCCATACATGCTAACAACATTCAGAGAAGCCATTAAACCTTTAAAGACAGTTCCCACACCTTCCCCCCAGCCTGCTGAGGCTACCCTTGAGGTAAGCCAGTTAACTACGTACTTGAAATATCTGTCCAGTGCTTTAAGAATTCATTGAGCCAATGACTACAGTCTCCCATGGAAAACTTCTTGAGATCTTTCTCTAGTTCCTTGTCATTTTCCAATTTAGTTTTAACACCTCTTGCTTCAGGATTAAGCTCTATCCAAGTCATGCTGTTTGGATCAAATAAGACTAAATTTTGTTTATTAAGGTTGAACAGCAAGGAGGCACCAGTGTTCTGTTCTATTTCACGTTGACAGCACATGTTGACTTGCAATTCAGGATGATCTGAAAATACACACACAGTTAGCATCTTGCACTCTTGATAGAGCCATCACCTCCCTAAAGGTCAACCCTTCCTTTGTAGGCCTAGGGACTGGGACAGTTTCTTGTCCTGTGTGCCCTTCACTACTCACAGCCGCAGGTACTTCCATGTTGGGCTGACACTTAGCTCTTACACGATAGACCTGAAGTGCCCTTCCCACCTGTGCTCTTCCCTTCGTCACTCAAGCTGACTATCTTGACCTCTGTGCCCCGTTCCATACCTACCCTTGGTATTTTTTGTCTTTGGTCTGATGTGTAATAGCCTCTTCCTGAACTCTTGTCCCATTTCTTTAACCGTTTGAGTCACATCTTCCCATACTTTGGTGGAATTTCCTTCTCCAATGCTACTCACAAGTTCAGCTTTGTTGGCATTTTTGTACTCAAATAAAAGCTTTTCATCCAATGAGCAGGATACGTTAAGCCATGACTTTCCAGGTTCATAGGAAGCCTCAACAGTGAATTTGAAGCAAAGACTGTGCTTATCTGTGAGAAAAACATGTAGATGAGGCCCAAACAAGAAGGAGCAAAGAATCATTATCTGTGATCCCTAGACTCCTTCAAGAAGGTCTGATTAAGAGGGGATGGGAAGGGGGGGAGAGAAGCCTCCATCTTAGATGTCCATCAATTTTAACATCTTTAGTCTTGGAATCTTGGAGGCTCACAGACATCAGGGAGCCTGTAGGAGTCTGACCTAGTTCTTCTGCATGTATGTTATGGCCGCATAGCTTGGTGTTCTTGTGATATTCCTAACAGTGGGAGTGGGGATGTATCTGACTCTTTTCTCTGCTTGTGGCACCTTTTTTCTCCTGCTGGGTTGCTTTGTCCAGCCTTGATGTCATGATATGTACCTGGGCTTACTGTGCTTGTTATGCCATGTTGGACTGATGACCCTGGAAAGCCTTCTCTAAGGAGAGTCAGAGGGAGTGTGAATCTGGGGGAGAGGGAATTTGAGGAGGAGAAACTGAAGGAGGGGAGGGAGAAAAACTACTGTTGGGACATATGAGAGAAAAATAATAATAATAAAGCTGAAGGAAGGCAGGGAGGGAGGGAGCTACTTTTATTCTCTTCCTACAAACGCTATGTAAAAAGAATAGGCAGGGTGATCAGACTGAGGCTGCTGGGGGAAAGAAGGGTAGAGTCAGGGAGATGCGAGCTAGCCTCTTGGGGAACAAGTCTACTAGAGGACAGATAAAGCCACAAGCCATGCGGCAACATGTAGATTAATAGAAATGGGTTGATTTAAATGTAAGAGCTAGCTAGTAATAAGACTGAGCTATCAGCCAAGCATTTATAAATAATACTAAGTCTCTGTGTGGTAATTTGGAATCAGCTACTGGAACAGGGAGCAGGTGCTCAAGAGAGAAAAAAACCCATCCTTTTTCACCAAACATGGGAAGATTACCCAGGGAGAAGGGCCCCAGCCTTTGCAGAAGTTCATTCATGGCAAGTGCTTACTGCTAGGAGCTGGTGTTACTGAGAAGGGATGCTAGTAAACACAGAGCAGAAAAATCTTAGCACAGTAGACCTAGCTGGGGTGAGCAGCAGCGAACAGCATGGAGGGACCATGGTCCACATGATTAGTGTGGTGAATGCCATCTGGGGCCTGGCACCAAGTTCATGACTGACAGAACAAAGAAATCCCAGAGGAAAACAGACATCCAGTCAGAATGCACGAAGATACATGATCAGCCAGGAAACCGGATGTTGCCATTCATGAGAAAGCTGGGATCCCCGGTTAGTGAGTTTTACTGGGTGTGGTGGAACATTCTTTACACGCTGAACCTGCTCAGACTGGCAGGCAGGTTCACTCACTGATTTCCAGGTCATCCTTGCTTAGGGTTAGAAAGTGGAATCGGCCTCTGAACAAACAGACAAACAAAGGGGCAGAAGGGGCAGTGTGTGGATACGGATAGTGAGACCTTAGGTGTTCTGATCTGTTGTTAATGTTCAAGGGCAAAGAGCCCAGGGAATGCCTGAGGGATTGTAAGGAATGGAGAAGATAGTTCATAGAGTACTCAGAGCCTGGGTGCAGGAGACTGTCCTTGCTAACTTCCTAGAGCGATCACAAGGTGTGCCCGTCACTGCCAGTCACAGCTCTCTGTTTAGTGATTTCTATCTGCCTTCTTGACCTCCCATTTCCTCTAGCTCCTGTGTCCCAATCTGCAGTAACTGATTTCTGTTACTCGTGGGCTCCTCCACATATCTTAGACTGACTGAAGAGGGCCAGGAGCAGTTCCACAGGGAAGACTTGCATTCCTTGCCGCCACCCTAACTCCCAGTGCCCCTTCCCCCAGTCAAATCCCAGGAACTCACCTGACAGGAGAGGTGTGCCTTGATGGCTCAGCCGGAAGAGGAGACAAAAAATCAGAGCATAATGACTGAGATTGTTTACTGCAGTCCAGGCCATGGATCCTTATTCCATTCCAGGCTGACAGCAGTCATGGTTTGAGCTTCGGAGAGAGGAAAGGAAGCGTAAGTAATTTGTACAGATGCCTGCAGATTTCTCCAGAAACCTGGCTGTGAGTTCAAGCATTACCTCTTTGTCATGCCTGCTGTATCAGTGCCCTAGCCCCACCTTTTCCTCGAACTCCTGGGGGGAGGGGGGAGGCACTCCAGGGTCCCTGGGGCTCTGCTTGCTTCTTTGTGGAACTCGGTGATTCTTTTCTATCCAATACCATCAGTGAACAGAGGTCGTGACTATGAGCTGACTGGCACCGGTCCCCATGTCCTCCCAGGCCCCGAGAAGTCCCTTCCCAGAACTTACCTGCACCAGCTCCGAATTGAACAGAGGTCGTGACTATGAGCTGACTGGCACCGGTCCCCATGTCCTCCCAGGCCCCGAGAAGTCCCTTCCCAGAACTTACCTGCACCAGCTCCGAATCGTCACCAGCGGGAGTGGAAGACTAAAGCTGGTGCGGTGGCTACAGCCATTTTATAGCCCTCAGAATGCTCCAGTCTGGGCAGAGTTTTTGAAGCTCCTCCCCCAACCTGTATATTCTTCCCCGTCAGAAGAAAGACAAGTCCTACTTGTTTATTATTTCTATTTTTAGAGTGCCTAGGTCTCCTCCCAGATTCTGGCCTCTCTGAAATCGACACGCAGGCACATACTGTAAGCACCTCTCTGCACTTCCAGTAACTCCGAAGTCTAAGACCTTCAGGAAGTGTGTGGAGTGCAGAGGTTTCCTTGCGCACCATTCCTCAGGTCCCTGGGCTCGGAACCTGCCGACTATGGTGGGCTGCCTGCCAGCGCCCCCAGGGATCCGCCTATCTCCTTCTCCAGCACTCATTTCCAAGTGCACAGCACCTACCTGGTGGCTTATAATTTAACTTTTGGATCATGAGTTCTGGGGACCAAGCTCAGGCCCTCATGCTTGCAAGGCAAACACTTCAATAACTAAGCTGTCGGCACCCCAGCCTAGAGCGTCTTCTTAAGATTTCCTCTTCAGTGATTTTTAAAACCATAGTGTCCTTCCAGCTATTCATGCATCCACTCAGCTAACAGTTCAATGCCGGTTAAACAACCTCAAGTGAGTGTTTGAGGCTAGTGTGGTGTTGAGTAGGAGTGAAACAATCACACCTACAGACTGAGTCTGAGAAGTCTCGGGTTTGGTGGGGGGCCTTGTTGTATGGTTTTTCTCATCACCATTCAGGGATTTTCAATCCTACCAAGTCACCGTGGACAGGAGAGTGTTGCAGCTCTAATTAGTATATATTTGTGTCTGCGATGTCACAGGAAGGTGAGAATAATTACTTAGTCAGTCACTTGCATAAATGAAACCCAGAAGGTCACTTGCGTAATCTCCTTAACCCCATTCATTCCAATGAGAAAGTTTCACCCTTTGATATGTGAGGATTGAGCAGGGAAAGTTTTTAAAATGCTACATGCATTTTAACTGTTTAAATTTCTGAAAGCCACGCCTGTAGCCCACACTCATTAAAATCATCTCTGGGGCTGAGTCCATGACCATCTGGAGGCTGGTGTGAGTCTGGCTGCCAGAGGAAAGACAGGAGTGCCCAAGGGACCACGCTGCTCTCAGCGGGCTCTCAGGCTCTCATTCCCGGTCTTATCTAATGCATCCCTGTTCTTGTTCTCCCAGAGACCTGCCTGTTCCACCAGTCTCAGGCTCAGACTGCCAAGTCCTCCCTGTGTGGAAACACTGCTTCCTGCTGTTGCCACCACCCTCAGGAGGCCCCCAGAGAGCTCTGCTGGGGTGAAGCCAGAGTCTTGACTTCACCACAGAAAAGAATTGCAGGATGAGTGAGTTTGGAGCAGAATCAGAGTTAATTTAAAAAGATTCAGAACATGAGAGTCAGAAGAAAGAGGCTCCTGGGAGCAAAGTCATATCTGAGGATATGGGTGTGGTCTTCTGAAAGACGAAGCCACTAGTGTTGCCAAGTATACACTTCACAGGTGACTAAGGGACTTTTTATTTTTTTAATGTATTCAATATATGTTTTGTGGGTTCACTGATGGAAACCAAGCTGGTGAGTAAAAGCCTAGATCAAGGAAGGGCAGAGCAAGAGCTTTTCTAAAAATGTAAACTGAGTTTTAGTGTTACTTGTGAGAGTCCCAGAAATGCTGTGAAATGAATCAGGCCGCACTGAAAAGTCCCATGAGCTTGGGCTCTCAGCTTGGCTCACTGGCAGCCTAACATTTTAATTTGAAGGTATCTCTGTATGAAAGAAATTTTGTCCCTATGTCAGCAACCTTCACAGGAAGTTATGATTGTGCTGGGTTCCCAACAACTGGAGAGAAGCCCCAAACACATTCATCCTCCTTCCAGAGACTTTTTTGGGTTTTTTGTTTTTCTCTTTCTCTCTATGCTGTGTCCTCTGGGAGCTGTCCCTGCTCAGGGATGAACCCAAGGCCATGCCACAGTTTTATGGATAGGAATGTCTTCCCCACAGACAGATCACCAGGCAGCCTTTAGCCCTGATCACCTCACACTTGAGACTTGGGGCCCTGAGTTTCCTGCTGTTCCCCAACCCAGCCTCCAGATGGCCCTCTGGATCAAGATCCATGCAGAACTGTCTTGTCTTGGATCTAAGGAGTTCAGAGTGGAGCTGTTCTGGGTCCCTGAGTAGAGCAGGGCCCAGGGATCACAGTTCAGGCCTCCTCACTTTCCCAAAGCCTGAGGACTGGGGACTTGAGGTTAGTGGCTGCTGATTCTCCCTTTGTAGTGACTGTGGGGAGAGGATGTAGGCACTTTGAAAGCTTTGGGAGGGTGGGGAGTCTAGTCTGCTTTTTTCAACTAATGGAGACATATGGTTCAGTGGATGGGCACACAGTAGGTCTCGGGGTCTTTCCTAGTCCTCATCTCAGGCTAAGATCTCCCTGGAATCCAGAGACCTGAGCCCTCTACTCCTTATATTTCTCCCACTTGCTGTGTGGTGGCTGACACAGGACACACGTGCCATCCTTTGGAGGATGACCGCGGTGACCACAGTTGTGAACTGAATGGTTCTGTATCTTAGCTATCGTGAATACTGCAGCAGTAAACATGGTGTGCGAACATCTGTGCAGGACTTAGAGAATGTGTATATATGCTCAGGAGTGGTGTATTTGGGCCATAGTTTCAGTTGCTTGAGAACCCTACATCCTGATTTCAATAGTGACCGAGTCAGTTATCATCCAACAGCACCTAACAGGGCTCCTCCTTCCTCACCGCCTGCTGGGGCTGGTTATTGTTCACTTTCTCAATGACAACTGATTTGATCAGAGTGGGTGGTACTGTCAAGTAATTAATTTGCATTTTCCTGAAGGCTGAGGATGCTGAATGTCTTTTCAGATGTTTATTGCTCTATTGTGGTTTTTTTCTTTTTGGAGCTGTCTGTTCAGTCCATTGTTCCATTTATTGATTAGGTGTGTGTGTGTGTGTGTGTGTTTTCTGTAACTCTGTATGCATTCAGACATCAACCCCTTGTCTGTGGTGTAGCTGGCAAGAATCCCTGTTCTGTGGCTTTCTCTACATTCTGCTGGTTGTGTCCTTTGCTGGGGGAAACTGTACATGGTACACCTTAGGGGACAGTCCTTATGTCTTGTGGTATATGACACCTTTCTCATTAGCTTCTTGTCTATACCTGTATCTTGTTCTGCTTAAGTTTTTCCTTTGGCAATTTCTAAGTTTCAGGTGTTATCATAAGGTCTTTGGTCCATTTCTAATTGATTTCTATGCAGTGTGGGAGATTCTGTCCTTTGTCTTAATGTATAGAGTCCCTTTGTCAACCCATGTGTGGCACAGGACACGGGTAAGCACACCTTTTGTTTAGGTGGAATCCCTGCTGATGCCTTATACCCAAGGAGTCTGGGATGATCCAGTGGAAGCTACACCTCTCTCTCTGCCCAGACCCTGCCCCCTCAAGAAGCCCTCCAAGGAGCTGCCCCTCCCCTCAGAAAGCCCACCAAACGCCAGTCTCTCCCAGGGGCTGCTCAAGGCCATGCTTTCCAGGCTACTTAAGAGGTGGCAAGGCACCTGCAGCATGCTCTCAAGTCCTCTCCCTGACTTCTGGAGAGACACGCTGGAGACGCTTTGCTCTGCTCAGATTAAACCTGGATTTATTCATTTGACTTGATTGACTTATTACATCCGAGGCAGAGGATACCCCATAACCAGGGATCTAAAACTTATCACCTTCCTAAAAATAAGTTTTCAAAACTGTTAATATATAAAGAGATATTTTTCTATTTTATATATTTGTAAGCAGCAGATGTAACCCTTTATTAAAGTTTTTCCCAAAGTTTTGTGTGTATGTGGGGAGGCATCCCTATGTAGAAACATTTTACAAATTTCTCATTGTAACTGTTTATAAGCATACAGTAGCCATTATTTAGTATTTATATCTGCAATAAAACAGCTTGTTCTAGTTGATATACCATACACTAGTTACCCTTCTAGTTGTTGTCACAAACTACCAGAAAAAAGCAACTTATGGAGGTGGGGCTGATTTTTCCTCCCACATCAAGAGTACTTCCACCAGCCTGGGTAGTCGTGGGGCAAGAATCAGGGGTGGCTGCTGACATCACACACACAGCCAGGAAGTGGAGAGAGAGATGAACACCAGTGTTTGACTTGTTTGACTCTCTACTTTTTATCCAGTCTGGAACGCCAGCCCAGGAGATGGTGCTTCAGATATTTAGGGTGGATCTTCTCACCTAATCTACTCCGGAGAACACTTGCCTAGAGACGCAATCTTTTAGAGGATTCTCCAACTTGCTGCAAAGATGAACCATCACATACTACATACCTCCTTAATTATGAACCTATTTGTTTTCATGTTAAGAGTGGCTTAAAAACTATGTTTTGTTAGATTAGTGTTTTAAAGGTTCACCCTAAGAGTTTAAGTTATTTAACTGATGAATTTCATAATTTACATCTATTGTAATCACTAAAATACTCATCCCCGACACCATATTGTCTCCTTATTGTGCATTTGGGGGTTTATCTCCATATCTCTGGGCTGTTTTTATGCTGAATTTTCTTCTTCTTGAAATGTTATATTCTGTTTTCCTTTTCATGATGGCTGCGACTGACCTATGACCCATACCAAAGTTGGTTCACATTTATTATTATTTTTGTTTTACGTTTAATAAAAAAGTATAAAGCATATTTTCATTTTTTTTGTGTGCTGTCTCTAGACCCGTTTCCTGAAGGGTTTTGAATTCTATAACTTAGTTAACTGTGGTCTTATTTTCTGTTTTTTTTTTTTAAATGTCATCCTCCTCTCCCCCATTTTGCTGCACAATTAAAACTCTGAATATTTGCTCGGCTCTTGCCACACCTTTTGTTTCATATTAGAGTACTTTCTACAGAACTTTATTTTCAGCTTAGATCTATTTGGGGCAAGTATATTTTAGGCATTCAATGTTATATATTTGTGTGTATATATATATCATAAAAGATGTATTTTTTAAATTTGCACTTGTCCTCTTGAGACAAAACACAACACCAGCTTCAGCCTTACAAGTTCTGGGATTACAGGAGTGAGCCCCTGTGTTAGTTAG